AGAAATATCGATTAGATTTCTCGGCATTGCCCGTACACTGTCGATCTCAAATGTGGGTGGCGTCATTTGACCTTCTGTCGAAAACAATACGCATGTTTTTCGTGGCGGTAGGGTTATTCCACAGAAACTGACGCGAAAGATTCTATGATGTGTTCCACAGTATCTATTCGGAGACATCTCCGACGGAGATAGACCAATCAAAATGCTTTGTGCCTCTAGACCAAGTAAAAAAATCTAGGGGGGGGGGGGGGGCATGTCCTCCTGTTTTCACCCATAATTTGATATTTTGCAGTTAGGTTTGAAATACTAAATTTGCGACAGTTTTAGAGGCTATATGAGTGACCTGCAGCAAACAATACACGCAGTTTGACCCCCCAAAGCAGTGCATCTGTGTGCGGGAGTGGGTCAACGAATAGTTCCTGGGTGCTCGCCGGAGACCGCTCCGAATATCTTCTGTCGACGTGTTCAGTTTCGGTAGCTGACAGGACAGATAAAAAACCCACCTCATTTGTCCCGTCAGTGGCCGAAACTAAACGCGTCTCAGAACGGGCATCAAGTACATTTGTACTTTAAAAAAATGATTGTGACTCATAATATGTCTTTCAATTAATGTTCTGATCCTGTAAAGTTAAAATAAATAATATATTAATTGATATTTAATTACAGTGTTATCTTTGCAAGAAGGAATAGTCCAATAAACGTCCTGTCAATTACCGTGGAATAGCCCGGTAGTCAATGTAGACCCAATAACAACAAGAGGTATTTAATTTCGTGTCGGTGCGCACCACGAAAGTATTTCGTTCAATTTGCTGGGGTTATGATTCATGCAGCTGAGGAAACTCGATCAAAGAGCCATCTGGCCCGTGAAAATCGAGATTTCCGGAACGGAACTTGGGGGGACTTGAAGGAACACCACGGGGAGAGAGAGTGGGGGGTGGAGAGAGAGAGAGAGAGAGAGAGAGAGAGAGAGAGAGAGAGAGAGAGAGAGAGAGAGAGAGAAAGAGAAAGAAAGAGAGGGGGGGAGGGGGTTGGTATACCTATTTGCCTTCTTTAAATCAAGGAGTGCCCGTTTAGCAATATTCATCATGCCTGTATGGCGTTGACGGTCCTTGCCCTTTTTCGACTGTTGTTGTCATTGTTGCTGTTCTTTCGTTTCTAGTATTGTTTTTGTTGTTGTTATTATTGTTGTTGCTGCTGTTGTTGTTGTTGTCTCGTTGTTGCTTTTGCTGCTGTTGTTGTTTTTGTTTTTGATATTGTTGATATTACATACTAACTTAAACGGGTATGGGCTTTACCAGTGAGCTATGGTTAATAACTCGACTTTAGCCAGCCAACT